GCAGGAGAAAATTAAAAAAGGTACAACTGTGCCTACCAAATGGCAGCTCTCGGTGACTAAGGAGTCTTATGCTTTTGTGGTAGAGGAACAGTTTCCTGAGGATATTCAAGTCTTTTTTTTTTCACCTTTCATCCATTGTGGTTGTTTCCCTGCTTATGTTTATCTTTATTTTGATCTTTCACTCCAAAGCCCCATGGCAGGCAAGCGCTGTGGCTCATGCCAAGTTGTAGCAGGGCTTTCACAATTCCCAAAACACACCTATGGCACACCCTTCGTCTTCTTTTTACATGGAAAATCGCCTCTGGCTTTGAGAAGTAGTTTCTCAATCCAGAGCCAGGGCTCAGCAAATTGCATTTTGATGAGGCTCTGCGTCTTTTCGATAAATAAAACCCAACCAGAAATGAGATACTGGAGCAATGGTTGGCACTGGAAATTCATTTATTGTTGGACCAAACTCACACTGAAAATGAGTCCTGGAGTCTTTGTGCCAAGATAGTCTCAGCACACAGCAGTGAAGAAACACCACAGGTGGGGAATCCCTGTAGGATTTTCTGAAGGCTTCAAGACCATGAGAAGGGACAGAGAAGCCACCAGGAACCCAGCCACTACGGTGGGAAGTGTGGACAGACAGACGGATGGCTCTGAGAACAGGCGGAGAGAAGGAGGCATGCGAAACCCCGCTGCCCACATCACGAATCCTGTAACTATTTAAGTGCAATTAGCCAGGCTGAGGATGCTGGAGAGCTCAGCTCGTTTGTAGAGACAAATAGAAAGGAGGAGAACAGAGTGCACCACAACTCTCACTCGAGGAAATGCGCGTTTTCCAGCTTCCTGCAGCATTTATACGCAAATACATTTTTGGCAGACATACACTCTTGTGAGCTGGGTCGAGCCCTCCTTCCAGAACAGAGGTGGGTCTCCTTTTCGAGCTGATGTGAAAGCAATCACCAGATTTCAGCAAGGCAGAAGCTCGTCAGGATACTCTGGTTTTGAGGCCAGGCTCAGAGAGGATTAGCGTCTGAGTTCAACTCAGTAATGAGCCTGTGACCCATCACGCATTCATCCTTTTGTCTCACAGAAGCCTGCTTGTCAAATAACAATTACTGCCTCATCACAATTTTTTTTTTTATTGAGAAATTCCTTCTTTTATTCATTTTCAACTTTTTATTGAGAAATCCCAAAGTTGAAGAATCTACGGCTGTTGAGGCACCGAACGGTGCTGGCAGCTGTCGAGCGAGGTTCCCAGGAGCTCCCATAGGACACAGGCAATTAAGTGCTTCTGGAAAATCCACCCCAGCAACTCCTGGTGTCTTCAGACGTTTAAATACCTCTAAAAATATCGCCCAGACACCCATTTCCAAAAGCGCCTAGGGACCCGGCCCATGGCACAATGGCTCAGCTGGCGTTTCCACTGGGGAACGCAACTGTCCCTGCCCGTCCCACCCCTCTGCCCAGCACCAGCAGGGACTCCTGAGCAGGATCAGGGGGTAGACAGGGCTGAAAATAACAGATAATAACAACGAGTCGCCACTGTGAGAGTGGAGGGGTGAGAGCACGGGGGTTTGGTGGCTCTACGAGATGGTTTATAGCCAACAGCCATGGGCTGAGGAGGTCCCGTGTGGCTTGTTGGGCTTCAGCAAGACTTTGTCTCCGAAATGCCACAGTTGGGACACGTGCCTGCCTGGCCTGGGAGCTTCTGAAGCACAACCTCAAACATCCCATTGAGGCTTTGAGCAACCTGGGTGGGTGGGAGGTGTCCCTGCCCAGGAGGGTGGTGAGGCAGTGGCCCAGGGTGCCCAGAGAAGCTGTGGATGCCCCATCCCTGGAGGGGTTCAAGGCCAGGCTGGATGAGGCTTTGGGCAACCTGGGCTAGTGGGAGGGGTCCCTGCCCATGGCAGGGGGTGGCACTGGGTGGGCTTTAAGGTCCCTTCCAACCCAAACCACTCTGGGATTCTGTGATTCTGTCACTGCAGCCATGAGCCAAAGGACGCGACCAACATTGGATCCCCTCTCGAGGCAAAGGCAAGAGCCGTCTCTCAACAGCCTTTCCTGTCTAGAGCCGAGGCAAATCATGGGCAAGACCCGGCAGCACCGTCCCTGCAGACCCGCGCTCCCCTCCGGATTTATCAGCCAAACGCATTCCGCCACCGCCTGCCACACCGCAGGGTTCAGGAGGGTGCCGGGGGTTTGTAGCTGCTGCAGATGGAATCACGAATCTGCACATGCACAGACGCACACGCAGTTCACAACGCCTTCCCTCGCCTCCCTCTGCATTACCAAACCCGCGGTTACATTTTATTGTTTTTTCTTTTTTTCCCGTGGGCGGGACGACGCGATCAGAGAGTTTTCACATTCCCAGCCGCGCCGGGAGGAGGAGATGCGTTAAGTCAGCACAACCCCAGCGCCTGTGTTTAGATAACGCGCTCGTTGAGTCACGGCCGTGGCTCCAGCCAAGTTTGGGAAATCAAACCAGGATTTGGGTATCAACAGCATCGCCTGGATCAAACGCGATGGGCAGCTTCAGGCTGCGGGGATCTCAAACACCGTCATTGTACCCAAAGCCCTCATGAAGGAAAATGACCTCTAAAGGTCCCTTCCAACCCAAACTGTTCTATGGGTCTGTGGTTCTATGAAAATAAAGGGGCAGGAATACAGGGAAAGCTGCTCAAGCCTTGAATACTAGGAGGAAAAGGCTCTTTTCAGCATCAACACTGCCAGTCGAGCTTGGGAAAGGGCTTTAACTACAGAAAGGGAGAATTTCTGGGGAAAAAAAAGCAAAGGAAAGTATTTAATTCCCACACTTTCCATAAAACATTTCACACCTAAGCGTTTTCACTGTGCTTCAGAAGAAAAAGTATTTTTAAATGGTGGGAAATCACGACGAAATTGAACGAAACTTATTTCAGGCCACTTAAAATGTTTTCCCTCCTCCACCAAAGGCAGAAATGATGTCACATCTCCACAGAAATGATGTCACCGCTCCGTCCAGCCCAGGAGAATTTTCCCCTAATTGCTGGTGCAATCATAGGAACAAAAGGCAAAGGGCTTTTTGGTGTCTGTTTGTTTCAACTCTGGCATTCGTGCGCCTCGAGAAGCCTTTACTCTCCTCGTCACGCTGCCCTGGTGTCGGGAGGCGCTTGCTGGAGGCGAGTTTACACAGCGGCAGCTGGGTTGGGGTGACTCTGAGGGAAGGAGATGTCTCTTCATTCAACGCCATCTCAGGTCCCTTCACAACTGACAGGAATGTTTAACCATCGCCCAAACCCTCGCCCCGTCCAAGTCGCTACACGCCCTCGCTGGCAGCGCCGTGCCGCTCCGCAGTCGCGGGTGCGTTTCTGTCTCCAGCATTTACAAACAGGGAACGGAGCTTGGGATAAATGCGATGACTCACCCGCAGCGCAGAGCGAGTCTGCGGTTGACCGGGGATGTGATTCAAGGTCTCCTGAGCCAGAGGTCAAACCACAGCAGGAGTTTTTTGGCTCTAAATTTACAGGTCATCAAAAATACTCTGCTTTTGTGGAGAGGTGGGGCTCGACAGGGGGGTTAAAATCTCACTTCCCATGGTCTCATTTACCTTTTGGAGTTGCCTTAAAAGCAACCCGTGAATCCCTGGCCAGCCCAGACACCAGCAAAAGCTGCAGGGCTGGCGCCGACATCGTGGGTACGGAGGAATTAGCTCTGAACGAGCTGGAGGGGTGATGGGCACCCGTCCCTCTTCCACATCGTCCCTTATAGGATGCTCCGAGAGCACTTCAGGCTGAGCAATGCCTTTGCCCCAACAGCACTGGCACTGGGACCGCCTTGGAGGATGGGGAAGCACGGCTGGAGGCCAGGGGGTGATGGAGGTAGTCATCAGTCAAAGGTGGACTGGCTGGGGAGTATCCCAGGGTGGCCAACATGAGCAAGGAGAGGGCTTGGGAAGAGAAAGGGGAAGGGAACGGGTCTCCTGACATCAACCAGGTCCGAAAGTCGGCTCTGCTCTAACGCGGCAATGGCCTTGGTCACCCCAGGAGACCCAGCTGAAGGATGGAGGAGAAGAGTGTCCAGGTTCATCCTGGCTGCCTCCTTCTGTCCTGATACACCGCCGGGAATGGGCTTGTTCCCACGGCTGGCGTTCACCCCGCGCGTTCCACGGACTGGGCTGGATCCGACCATCTCACAGAGCCTGACACACCGCCGGGAATGGGCTCGTTCCCATGGCTGGTGTTCACCCCACGTGTTCCACGGACTGGGCTGGATCCGACCATCTCACAGAGCCTGACACAGCAACTTCGCCACCCCAACCGCCTCACCCCGGCAAGACCTGCTTTGCCCTCCTGCCAAATTTACAAACTACCCAAATTCTGCAGAGAGAGGGGTGAGGAGCACGGGAGACGGGGCTACGCACTCGCTTTGGTTCCTTTGAGTGCAAACTTCAAAGGGCGAGAGAAAGTCAGGCAACACTTCCAGAGCTCAGCAAAAGAGGAGTCTTGTTGCAACACGAAACTCTTTGGTCAGAGAGAAAACCACACGAGCTGACTGCCTCTGGTGTTTATTAGGGAATGGCACACGCCAAAGGAGAAAGGAGCAAACAAGCACAACGGTGAACAGGTAAACCCCGAGCAAAACCCTACAGCAGCTTCCAAACACGGGCAAAACTGCCAGCATCTGGCTTATTAAAAAAAAACAAACTACAACGGGGTAAGGAACGTCTTCAGCTGGGACTAGTCACCGTTGGGAAATTCTTGTTTTGGAGCTGGAGCCCTGGCCGATGAGCAGAGCTGATTAACGTTGCACCACATCTGGATCCAGCGCAAGATCTCGATGGGAGTCAGACGCCTTTGCACCGTCTTCCAGGGACACGCGTCCTCGGAGCAGCACGAGGACCCGGCCCCTCTGCCCATCGCTCCCTTGGGCTGCGCTGCTCCGTAGCCGGGTCCCAGCCGTGTCCCAGCACCCCGATGACCAGCAGCTTTTCCATGTCTCGCTGGGAAGCAAGCTGTTCCCAAACACTGAGAATCTCAGTCGTTACCTGGTGAATCCACCTGGATTTCCCCTTTCTGTGCAGTTTCTGGAGCAGGGTGGGGGTTTAGAATGAAACGGGTGGTTGCCGCCTTGCCCAGGAAGAGGTGGTGGTGCCCGTCATGAAATTTGTTTCTCTTCTCCTTCGGGTGCCAGGGAGGGGTGAGGGCGCTCACGCTCCTAGACCCTCCGGCTGCCAGAGGGGGTGGTCTTCTTCACGATGGTGCC